GTGGAAGATTCTTCACCTCGGGATGATCGCGTCAAGCATGCTCTTCTATTATGTCAATTTTCCTGCCAGGCTTACAGAAGTATTTCTCCATTGGTTCTCTAATCTTGGTTTTCACTGAAGACCAGAAAATTATCCGGCCAGCAGGATGTTCGTATCCAGCCTGTGGTCCTTTAACATATGTTATCCCTTAAAAAAAAAAAGTTATTTAAATAAAATTGTTGAATGATAACAAGCTATTTTGTAACTTCTTTCAAAAATGTTAAGATCTCATACAAGTTCAATTTACTTGATTCCCTCACTTCCAGAAGAGGGCAGCACTTCTTTACCATATACAACTTCTGCCATATACAGTTTTCTGGCATTTGAGGCTCTCCTGTGTAATTTATTAAGGAGAAGTATGCAGACCGAGGCCATAATCTTCAAAGTGGAGAAATTGCTGCTCATTCCCTGCATGCTTCTCATCCCTTTAATCTCACCCTCCCACTTCACCATTTAAAAAAAGGAAGCTATTCAGACTCAAACCTTCTGTTTCATAAACACTGTGATTTATGAAAAGTGAACAATGCCATTTACATCAGACTTGAGTCACTTCCATTTGTATTGCCTGTCTCCCTTCTTCTCTCAAGATGTTTCTCAATAATCAAATGTCCCTTCCTCGACTCCTCGGTCCTCCGGTAGTGACCCGGAAATGAATTTCAGCGCACCATTTTGACCGTTCAAATCCAGTTTTGGACAGTCTGCCGTGGTTCCATCCCATTTCAAGTGCTGTTCGACGCTCGGCGTAACCCTCGGAGCACACTCTCCAATCACAGAGCTTGAGGACTACCACGGGGTTTGTCCATGGTTTGTCAAGCGAAGCGGAGAGAATACTTACTTCCGGGTGTAATATTCTCTAAAGCAAATTAGCTGCTCCGACCCTCGGTCCTGACGGACTCCAACTTGTGTTTATTAATCAAACAAATAAATAAACACAAGGATAATCATGTGTTATTGTTGAGTAAATGGAGAATTGCACAGGGGAAAATAACGTAGGCTATCTATGCCACTTTTTTTTGTTAAACTAATACGTTGTCCACGCGCTGTGGACCAACACATTGACGCGGAAGGGGGTAGCAATAAAGATAACACCATTAAACAGTTACACAACATAACAGAACTATTATCGATAGCAGCGTCCCTAGCAACAAGTAACAAGTAACAAGTAGTTAATAATAATAAAAGACATTAAGAAAAAGGCATTTTAAACAGTCATTAAAAAGCAACACAATCTACCTGCATTGCATTACTCTAAACGTGTAATAACGTGCTTTAACCAGTAGGTGGTTTGGGTTAAAAAGCTGTCAAGTTTACAGTGTTAACAAAATAAAATATACTGCTGTTTCTGGTTTAGTTTACGACGGATATATTTAGTTATTGTTTTGATATTTGTAACACAAAAGCGATGGAAAAAACCCACAGCAACATAGAAAAGATGGTCTTAACATGACCCAGCGGTCTAGTAGTTATGGCTAATACAAAACAATAATATCAAAACAAAATATTACTACTAACTTTATTGTGAAATTCAAACTGAACGGTAAAAGAATAGTTTCCGGTCTATTCTGAGTCCGATCTCTGTAGATAAATAAAAATAAAGAACCATTCCCATTGGATTATCCGTTATCCAATGGGAATGGACGCTCACATTGCATTTAAGGGCAGCCGACACAAACGAATGCCGTGCTTCCATGAGCGTCAAATCCCGCCGCAGATGGGAATACATTGCAATCAGTTGAAAGCTATTTGCGTCCCTTTATGAAGCTGAAGGAGCCTAGGAGCGTCACAACTGCCCGCCACGGGACCCTGACCAAACGTCGCTCCTGGACGATTATGGAGTGAGAGTGTGTTGCCCTTGGATACTATTTTAGTAACTGCTTGAACGGCAACGCGATGTTTACAGTGAGAACAGCTGTGAGGTCCGTGCAGAAAGCAGAGCAGTGTGTGTATAATATATCACTCAGTATAACAGGCCTACTCTCTTTATTTGCTTTAGTTTAGTAGATATCTCAAAGAGTCGATATTTTTCTAAGACCATTTAGTGCTTCACATAATAAAATACACAACGGCTGTAGCCTGATTATGCTGTAGGTGTGTGTGGTACAGTGTGTGTGTGTGTGTGTGTGTGTGTGTGTGTGTGTGTGTGTGTGTGTGTGTGTGTGTGTGTGTGTGTGTGCGTGTGTGTGTGTGTTGTACAGTGCGTATGCGGCGGACAGACGGGTCTCAGTTGGTTTGGTGTCCTATGCTTACTTTTAATACTTGTACAACTTTTGGCCTTTAATTTCAATTCCCCATGTCAGCGACCAGAGAGAGGGGGGGGGGGGGGATATATCCAGTCTCTGATTGTGTTACGTTATTATGAGAGTGCTCTCATAATTGTTTGATTTTGAAATTGTATATATTTATATAAATATATGTGTGTTTATATGTCGCATCTGTAGCCTGTTATTGTCTCATTATAACGCACTGTCAATGAATTAAAAGTAAATATATATAAGTCATCATGAATGAACACATCTGTCCATCAGACAGCTGAGTGCTGCTGTGCCTCCTGTCATCATTAATGGACGTCTCTTTAAAATGACCGCTCAGAGGAGAGGAGTTCTCATTTCTCTAACCGCCTGCTGCTTCCACTCCTCTCTCCTCGGTTCGCCTCCTCAGTCCTCCGCTCGCATCTCCTGTGGGCGGCACCAAGTCTCGAGGATAGGAGTCAAGGAGGGGAAATTTGAGTATTGAGAAACCTCTTATGTCTCTCTCCCCTGTTCTCTCAACTTGCCTTACTTTTTTCGTTTCCCCCCTCTCCCTTTTTGCTTGTGCTCCACCCTATAATCACACCGGTTCATGGCTCTCATTTGGAGCGGTATATATAGCAGTAATTGTCAGGGTGCAGTACGGAGACTGGGCAGAGCATGTGTACTCTCTCACAGGGCTGTTTCGCAATAAATCTCATAGTGCAGAGGAGAGGATTGGGGTGGTGGGGGGTTGAGTACGTGCACGAGCAAAGGCACGCACGCACACACACAAGGGCTCACACACTCCTAAGAAGACACTAAGCGCATATAGAAGTAGATAACATTTTACAATCCTATAAGAACAAGGCATTGTACTAATTTGTTAGCGTTCTCTTTGTTTCTGTAAGTCATTATATCTCGGTGACTATTCATTCACTCTCTCAATGGGCCTGAAATGGAAATTGAATGTGTCTCATAATGTGTTTTTTCACTTAACTGGATGGGATAATTATGCAAATGAATTCATTATTCATGAAAGCATCTCCTTATCAGTAAATATTAACAATCCCAGGTGATGAGTTAGGGCCTGTGTGTCAGGTGGTCTGCTCATGATCCATGAGCACATACTATGCACGTGCAAATCAATTTTAAGTGGAAGACAACATTAATGAGCATTCTTAGCTTCTTGCATTATACAGAAGAAGCTTAACCTCTAATGTGAAAAAAAGCATGTCATCATGGAGGCAGCACAAATCCAGACAGGTTCAAGGGTTTTTATTATCGAAGCAGCCATTTGGCTTTAAGCAGACACATTCCTGCTGAATAATCTGAAGTTTGATCACAACAATCTTGTGATCAAATCCTACGACATGTCTGTCTGCGCTATAAACCATGGAACACTGCTTTCAAGAGAGATGATGGCAAAACCTGTGTGTGTGTGTGTGTGTGTGTGTGTGTGTGTGTGTGTGTGTGTGTGTGTGTGTGTGTGTGTGTGTGTGTGTGTGTGTGTGTGTGTGTGTGTGTGTGTGTGTGTGTGTGTGTGTGTGTGTGTGTGTGTGTGTGTGTGTGTGTGTGTGGTGTGTGTAAAGAGGGAGGGGGGGTGTCCTTGTAGCTTGTATGGACAGGTCTGTCATTCAGTGAGCGCACACAGTCTCCATTGTGGAGCCGCCTGTGGTCCCCATCAGGGTGGAGTGGCGAAGGGGGCCTCCTGAATAAAAACACGTGCAGCAAACAGGAAGTGGGCCTGTAAGGATAAAATGAGAACTGCTTGGCTGAGCATTTATGAATTGAGTTCGGTCATAGGTCGACAACTTTTTGCCTCAAATTGTTTTCTTTCTCCTGTTCTGTTTTTATCTTTATTGAGGAAAGGGGTGACCCACACGTATCCCCGCTCCGCTGGAAATGTTATCAAGTTCTGACTCAGAACATCCCACTAAAAAGCAAGGCCCAGACCGTAGTGTCTGCCACTAGGATTAGATAATTTTTGCTTTTTCCAAGTAGTGATCATATTTGAAGTCCACTATACTTGCTCACAGTATGTGTTCACGTGTGTTTATAGAAATACAGTATGCTGAAAGGGCATGAAAGGATGCTGAATGTGTGTGAGTACACTCTGTTAACCCAGGTGCTCTGCTTTCAAGTTTTCCTTTCCTGTTTGCCCAGCAGCTGTTTCATCCCAGCGAGCGACCACTTCACAGCTCCGCTGTTTTCTTTCTGGGTGGACTTGTCAGCTATGATCAAATCAGACTTTTGTTAAGAGTACATTTCCTTTCCAGACATAGCTGATTACTCCACCTACTTTGATACGTTCGAATTTAGTCATTAATCCCTGGACACTTTTGTGTATTTTCCTTACTGAAATAGTTAGGCGATTTCTCGGTTCTCAGGAAGGGCAGTGTTTGCAAAGGATTTAGTCACAGACAATCCAACAGCTTTAAAGGGTTGTCTTTGGGCAGCTTAGGCATTTTAGGGGAAACCTTGTACAATAAAGTTCTAGTTTCCAACCAGCCTTTTTAAGTGTCTGAAAACCAAGAACCCAGAGTGCTTGAGTAACCAGTATGACAGATCAGATGTTCACCCACAGAATGAATCATATGTATCGGAGCAGGTGGACTGAAAATGCTACTGGATAATATCAGCTTCTGTTTTCACAATTGAAGCCTGTTTTTATAAACACATATTCTGCAGAGTCATGTTTTAGCATCAAGAAGGAGGCAGGAGGTAGACGACAGCTTAGTATGTGAAGAAGTTTAATTGATTCACAGTAATGATGAATGAATAGATTGTGATTTGGTCTTTAACTGAAATTTGCTTCCGACTCAGCAGTGTCTATCAAAAAGTTATCCTCCACAAACATGCAAGCACACATTACCTTCTGTAAGAGTCTATGCATCACAGCTAAAAGCAACCTGAATGACATCACATGACACATTATTCTTTCTCTTATGAGGTTTAAGTCCCTGAGAGTACAGCTTTTTATGAATATGTTTGTAGATAAGCGTTGTATAGCTCACACTCTCAGCTATAAAGACAAAATAAAAGCACTACTGGTCATGAAAAACAATGTCCCAGTGCTATGCATATAGCATGGGTATAATACAGTAATATGATGAGTGGTGAATATGAACTAACTTAAAATATGGAATGGCATATCATTTTAAATAACACATAGAACAGACCATAATATGTCAATATAAACTGTACACACGCACAACATAACAGAAAAGCACATCAGCAAACACACAGACGTGTACGTCTTTATGCTTTCTTTAGCCTCTCAAACGTTTTTTTGTTACATGGAAGACCTTATAAAAGGTTATTCTAAAAAGCCTTATTTCTAAACCTTCCATGAAGTCAAAATAATAAAGGCCCAGTGAGGGGGAAAACAATGTGCTAAAGAAATTAATCAAGTCTGCATTTGTTTTTATGAGTGACTTGTCCTTTCCACGACGAGTCCTGGTCGCTGGCCATTAGAAAATCATCTTAACATGTTTAACCACTAAGACAATAAGCCATACACATCAAACACAGTAATGGGGTAACACAACATGATTAACACAAGTTCCATGTTGTAAAAAAGTGGAGTTGCATCATAGTTTGCTGAGGAGCTAAACCTTTAGCAAAGAAATGTAGAATGCAGTATATTTTAGCAGGCCCAGCTTTAGTACAAAATATAGGGCCACTGTTTATGTGTCCAACAGTTGTTTTTTCTCCCAGACAAACATGTTGTTCTCGGTGGGGAGCTGAGTATGCCAGATTGTGGTCTTTGTATGACTGCCTACAAAAAGGCAGCTCTGCTAGTAAAAAGTGTCTGTCTGCATAAGTCTTTCTCCAAACTTCATCCCTTTCTCTCTCAATCTGTCTTACAATCACTGTGTCCCTCAGTAAATCTTTCAGAACTCGGAATCTTTCATGTAGTTTGTGGAAAGATTCTCGCTCTTTCTGTGATTGCATAAGAAACTATTCCACTGTGTTTCTTTGTAAAGCACATGCTATATCCCTAACCTTAACCGTAACCTTATGTCAAACCTAAACAGATGTAATTAAAAGGTTTTTTATATGCTCTCAAAACCCAGCCAGCGGTAAGGATGGGAGAGAAAAAAACTCTACAGTTACAGTTGTTTAACTAAAATATAACATTTGTTTAATCTGCATCATGGGACGATATAACAACATGGTGCCTATGGTTAATTAAATAAGGAAAACATGTTTTGTTAATTATGCGTAAACTAAAAATCTCTTTACTGAGCATGCTGTGTATGTGTGAATCCGTGAATAAATAAAGTTTCGGCATAAATACATTGCATTTGAAAACTAAAACAGAAACCTAATATTTCACTTTTTGAAATGTATAACACAATAAAGTCGTTTTGGTGGCAAAGCATGGGGGCAACACTAGAATACTGATGTTAAAACGATGAAGTGCTTTGTTCAATAAAAATCATTGGACAACCTCTTTGCTTCTAGATAAGAAGCAAACATTGTACAGTAGCACTACTATACTTGTCTAAAACAATGATTTTGTTAAAGTCAAAGCAATTATAAAATACCTAATTAACTTTAAAAGAAAACTACCCAAGATGAATTTTAGGCCACTGTTGAAATGTAGTGAGGTTCTTGAAGGACATACAGTAATGTTAAGAGCACCAATATTGAAGTAATGTAAAGGCACAAGAGTTACAAAATTCAATACATTTGTTCTACATTGGATATGAGTTTTACCAACTGCACTGCCTTCTAAATAGTTTTTAAATAGTTTTTCCCACCAAACACCTTGAATAACTAGCTAAAGTCATCCACATTCACACAATTCTGTATAGTTTGAATCATTATCCAGTATTTTCTTACTTAACTAGAGTAAAATACATGTCGACCTGTTTGGCACCTTTTCCACACTTGTTGACAATGGAGTCTCTGCAATGGTTGCTGCTGTGATATGATGCACTTATGAATATTTTCTCCACATCTGCCAAGGAGGTGAACAGCCGCCATGTTGTGTGTACACTGTTATTGTGGGTCCTGAAGTCCCAAGGGCCTAGGGCCATCGACCTCTGCCCACCCTGAGTAGACTCTGGTCCCCACTGGAAGGCCTCTGTTCCGGGCCCCTGGGACGGCTACACAAAGTTGTTGGTGATTTGCTTCTGGTGCTCAAACAGGTCCTCAATCTCTGCGCTGTATGCATCGCCTTAAAAAGGGAAAAGGATATAACTTTCAGTGACCGAGGAGGGGTGGAATCAGGATGAAAAAACAAAAGGGGAAAAGGCTTTTATGTGCTCACCTGCATGACATCCATACATGTACACTCTCTGGCCATCGTATTTGCACCGACATCTCATGACATTGTTCATAAAGTCAGACTCAGCCATGTCCATTGCAGGGTTTACTTCCACCTGCAAAACAATACCATCATACACAACCTCTGTTAAAAACGACACAATATCACATTATTTCTGACCTTATGACTTGCAGCTGCATACTTCATCATCACCACAAACATTTATTAGCAAACAGGGAGAATTTATGACTTTGTTGTTCTCACTTTCATCTAATACTGTAACCGGACCTGGCCAGGCACATGGTCAAACAAAAAATATGTCCCCTCTCGATACACACTGAGAAAGCCATTTGACATAAAGAGCAGTTGGATTGTAAGAGGGCCTGTTATTAAACAGCACTCTTGGCTGGTATTGTTTTTATAGTCAATCCCTTTTTCATCTATAAAAAGCTGGATGACTTTTCCATATAGTATTCCTATTTGGAGATATAAATACACTATGCATACACTTCTTTCTCATTGGCTTAACGTTGAATGAGTGTGCTTGGTAGCCTTCAGCTAATTATGCACTGAATGACATCTGACATGAAACACTTGCTTTTACCGTGCGTAATGCAAAGTACAGAATACACTGGTAGATGTTCAAGGGTAGCTCATCATAAAACACTTTATAACTTGAATGAAAACACGTAACAAAGAAATTTCTGCCCACAAAACACATAAGAAGCTGCATTAGAGGTTATGCAACTTTACAGCTGAAGTTCATGGAATGCGGTTGCTACTTGGACCAACATAGGTATGTAATAATGACTGAATTTGCCTGAAATTAAAGTGTGCTGCAAAAGAGTAGTTATGCAAAAGCATGTTTATATGTCTGAGTGCTGGCATACACTGTACTAACAGTGTGTCATTTGCAGAGCAGCTCCATAACTGCTGATACAAGCATTCTCTTAATCTGGTCTGGTGATAATACTGTGAAGCCATTTACTCTAATAGCGGCTCTGTAAACTGCTACACCCACTTTAAGTACATGTTACAAACAGCTACAGGGAGAACCAACGCAAACTAAACTAAAAAAGACAAACAACTTTTAAAAGTAAGTGAATGCACAAATGCCGTCTCTTAATTTTTCAGGGTAAATTACAGTGTAGGACCAGAGTGTACGAGGCTTTTGAAGAGGGCCCGTTCAGGGGCAGAATGTGTGGCTCAGTGAGAAAGTGGCAATACAAATAAAAACAGGGCAGGAGGAATTCCTTGGTGGCAAATTAGCCGTTCCTAATGGAAGGGGGGACTAGCTGCTGTTTGACTAAAGGGAGGCAATAGTTAATTTGGGTAATGGGTGAGTTTCATTGGCAATGGGAGGTTCAAGGTTAGGCCTGCTGTATCTTTCTGTAGAGCCCAGGTTCAGAAAAGTCAGGCATTACCTGCACTTAACTGGACACATTTAAGAACGCAGTAGAGAGATTGACATGCAGTAAAATATATATTTATTTTTTCAATTCTGCAGCAATGGTGAATAACTACTATAACTCCCCGCTTGGCTTACTTTGCTCTTTTTTTCTCTCTTGTTCTTCAGTTACATTTCGTTATGTACTCTCAGTGCTTTTTCTCCTCAAATGACCTTGACCTTTTCACCTTCAGTAGTTCTTCCAATTTTGTTCATACATTTCTCTCAATTCCATTTCTGTCCTCTATCATTCATTCCTTCTGTACGCCTCCACATTGCGCTGCAGCATGTATGACTTTATAATTATACACTGCTCAACATGCTTAAAATACATCCAGTCAGCACACGCGTCTATACATATGCTTGTCACGTCTTTTGCGAGTACATTAAAAAAATCTGTCTTTAATAGAGAGTAGAGGAGTGTAATTACAAAGATTGAGAGTGACCTTTTAGACACACTTGGTGACAGCAGTAATTATCAGACAGTGAGTTACACGGCAACCAATCTGCCACAGCTGGGAGGTAATTGGCAGGATGAGATCTGAGGACTGCTGCGTACATGGTGGGATCCGTGGTCTAAACTGGAAATGGAGGATAATGGTCCTTGATGTGTTTTATTTTTGTAGCCACAATGACTTGAGTGTTTAACCTGGGTCAGAATAATGAAAGACGGAGGAATGGTTGAGGGGAAGATTATGAAGTGAGTGTTCGAAGGGTTTTACTGGAATAGACAGAAACACAAACCATTAAATGAGGAAGTCCACATATGATCCTGTAATACCTTTTTTTGTATTAACGAAATTAGAAACTTTAAGGTACATTGATTACCTTAAATGTAAATGTAACTTTGTCCCTTAATGATAACTTTGTCCCTTAAACGTAAGGGTAAGGTTGCCAGGTCATGGTTTTACGGGGGTTTATGTGTTGGACTATTTCTTGGCTGGGTGTAGTCGGAGTCTTACAAAGTTGCCATGTAACCAGTAGAGATTCCAGACTCGTTTCTGCACCTAAACAGCCAAGAATGTGTTGTAGCTAAACTAAGCTAACTGGCTTCTGGTAGTAGTTTCATATTTACCATACAGACATAAGTGGCACAGATCTTCCCAGGTAACTCTTGGCAAAAGAGCATGATGAGCATACTTCCAAAATGGTAGAATTATGATGGTGTTTGATGTACGTGATATGAGAAAATGTACCCAAACTGCAAAAGGGGAAGTTATATAAAATGACTTCTCACCTGGAAGATGTAGTCTCCTGGCCGTACATCTGTCACATCAATCCACTGACAGTCGATATCGTGGCGATATGTATCCCAACAGCCCACAGAGATACCCTGATCCCCCATGTTATAGCAGGAGAAGCGCTTCTGGACTCCTGAAACATTCACACACACACACACACCCACAACATTATCACAACAACAAAGCTCATTTACTGCTTGGTACTCCCTGTTATTTTTAAGAGTCTTTAGCTCCTTGAGTTGCAGCAGTCTACATATGAACTCCGCTTTCTCATATGAGCTATTTCATCCATGGTATAACAAGTAAATGGAGAGTGAACAAACAACAACAGCAGCGATCTAACACATTAACCACAAAGTAAAAATCTAAATAGCTGCAGCTGAAATATTGATATTAATTTCCTGTCACTAATGGGAAACAGTGTTTTAGTGGGAGTCATGAATAGTGAACATTACCCTCAGGGCAATACGTGTCCTCCAGACAGAAACTGGCCTTGTGTCCCTCTGCGATCCTCGTGCCATTCAGAGTCAGCAGGTCGTAATGCGTGAACACCTCGATACTGTGGTAGTGCCTGGGACGACAGAAGGGGAAAGTCCAGGTGAGAGTGTGTATATGTGTGTGTGTCTGTTAGTGTATGAGTGTGTGCATTTACGCTAAGTGAACACTGGCTCCCTTTGGCTTGTAGCCTAATGACCTCACTGCTCGAACATGAGCGTGGGTGTCACCGTAACACCTCTCACAGAAGCTTGTTTTAGCGCCGGCTTGGTTGAACTGTTTACTCGTTCTGAGTGAATGGAGGGCTTTGAAACACCCGTTCATAGCTCTGATGTGTTGTTGTTACAAACTGAAATGGACTTGACCGTGCGTGGGCTGCCCTGTCCTCTGTACTGTATTACATCTGACCTGTGTGACTGGATTGGTTCAGCAGTCATTTCCACAGACACGTGCTGCAGGGAGGCTAATCAATCCAGAGGGATGACACACTGTTTCAGGCCACCCATAACCTACTGGGACACATGTCACACAGCCAACACTGAGGGCTTCAAATGGCCCCTTCTTCTCTCATGACGACAGGCCTGAAGGTGCTCTCGTCATCTGACAAGAAACTAACTTACAAGCTGAGAAGTAGAGTGGAATTTGTTACAAGTAGACTTGAGGACAATATTTAGTCTATGTACAGCTAATGTACAAATTGCTGCTGTGGACCGTTGACAGACAAAGGCTCTTTTGTTTTAATGCCCCGTGTTGCACGTCAAAGCCCCCCTGTCAAACCATACGCACACTGGCATAGACATCACACTTCAGCATGTTTTTTTTCCTGGTAGCAATTGAGTGCAATTAAATTAAATATAACCCAAATTACTCAACAAGGAGGGAGCTATTTTCATTAATGCACGTAAAAGCAATTTTCTATGAGGAACAGATGTTTGTCCGAATATTTTTTTAAAACCTCTAAAAACCACAGCTCACCTGAATCCGAGACACTAAACCACAGTTTTCCCAAAAAAACCACTTAGAATTACCACAGGGGCAACCACAACATCCCACTTAGAGTAAGTATTTAAACAGTCTTTCCATTGCAACAACCTAAGCGATGTTACTCCTCCCTAAACTCCTGAAAGATGCTATACCTGTGACACTGGTGCCATGTCCAGCTCTCTCTTGTTGCTTTGGGTCTGAAATCGGACCGACCCATGTTCATGATGCGGGAGGAGAACCGCAACAGGCGGCGGTGGCCATAAGGCCAGTTCATCCTGGCAGCGGACGAGGACAGACAGTTCTCCTCATTGGCACAGGTCAGCAGGTGGAGGGGTCGGTCTTCCAGGTAGGCTGTCTCCTGGACCAGCTGGGCATCCAGAACAAGGTCAGGCGCCGCTGAAGAAGGTCAGATGGGAGAGGTTATGTTAGGATTCAAACAGATTTAGAATAAGTGGAGAAGATGTGAGCTACAAAGAAGGCTGTACTTACTGTCTGAACAGCTGACCCCAGCGGCCTTCGTCCCACCTCCTCGAGGACAGTGGAGATTGTTGTTGCGCCGGCACTGTTGAATTGAAAACTCCGTGCCCACACAGTGAGTTCCACTGAGAATCAAATCACTGGCATTCGAGTGACCGGGCCAGTACCAGGTATCCTGTCAAAGGAAGGGGGCGGGGTCAAAGGGCAAAGCAAACCTGTCAGGTTTTCTATCAATAAGTAGGATCATAGCACATTGTCCATCACAGTAAATACAGGGGCTGTGACTATGGATTGGCCCCTCATCCATTCGTTGTTTGTTCATCAATAACCCAGACACCGCTGATGGGATTTTGACAAATCTTGGACGAATGATGCCTCTTAACACTAATCTGGCTTTTTTTTTTAAACAAACTAATTGGTTTAGAAGTGGGAGTGTTATATTGTTTGTTCATTCAGGACAACATGCCCATTATTTTAGAGACTTCGACAAAAGTTTTTCAAGATAACGAATAAAGGGCGGCACTTCAGCCAGAGATCAAAATGACATGATTGTTGACACCTTATGGATGTAATGTTGGTCAGGAAGGTTGTTACCTGATGAGCACTGGCAGCGAAACCCAGGCCGAGCTGTCTGCATGTCACCATGGCTTCATTGATGCCCCAGTTCTCACTACAGACAGAGCCCCAACGCTTACGACCCCCAACATCCATTAACACCTCAACGTGGCCTTCTGATGGGACTCTGCCACCAACAAGTCGCACCTGGAAATGAAAGGGATTCAGTTGTTAGTGCGCAATCAGTGAAAGCTCATACATTTTTGTCTGGTTTTAGAGTTGTTTTTATACCGTGTTCTCTATTCCGGTCTTGGGGATGTTACAGCGTACTGAGGCATCCTGGGTGTGTTTGAATGTCCACGGTTGAACTTCCTGGAAGTAGCAGTCTAGGATGGAGCGCTCACTCCCCATACACTGTACACTGTTCATATGGATAGGTCCGGTACCTGAAGAGGGAGGAGGACATAAGGTAGATTTAAAGACTATGCTGACAAAAATAAGGCAGGAATATACAGTATGGGAGCCAGAGGAGCATAGACATAACTGATGGGCAATATTTATCGTGCACTGTTTGGGGCCACCAAACGCAGACACAGAGGCATTACCAGACTTTATCACGAAAAGGAGCTCACACACATTCAATGCACTTTATTCTTTTCAAGAAATTATGCTTTGCTATTTTCCAACAAACCAACAACGATAAGTTCCTATCTGTCGTGACAAAATGCTTTTCTGGCCAAGCGTTGGCAACACCACAAACATCTACTTTAGGGATCTGCCCCACCTCATTACCACTATTCTGTTGCTTTTGCCACAACAACAATAACATTGTGTGTAGTCCACCACCCTGGGTGAACAAACAAGAGCAACTCTGTGGGTACAAAATAAAAGACTATCACAGTATCTGTTTATGGTTTTAAACCAGATGATCTCTAAATAACATAGAAGATGTTGGGAATAAATCTTAAGATAAAGATGTTGTGAAAGCAAACAGCTGCCGCCACAATGACTGCAGTGTGTGAAACACTGGCAACACTGGCAACAGTGTTTTCTTAAAACAAAAGACACAACCGGCAAACTTTGAAATGAGGCAGCATTGAAATAAACACAACCAAAACCACTAAAACCGGGGGGAAAAGAGAGAAACCAAGAAAGAAGGGCGTGAAGAAAGATAACTTGAATGGTATGGAGCAGATTGAAGGCTAACCCCCCCATCTGTGTCGGTGTTGGTTTTGGTAGATTGTAGGCCTGCTTCCATACTGGTCGCACTGCGTGGGTTTAGACTTATGAAAGGAAGCATCAAAACCACTTCCGCCTCTATCTACAGTGTAAAAGCCACAAACTAGATCCAAACTCCCACTTTTTAAGTTATCAAGACAAACATGGGGCCCGGATGAGGGATCCTCAAAATGAACAGTGACACGCTGTATTTAAATTTAGTTTGGGAAATCCACAAAAAACAAAAATTAATTTCAAGAAACTGGCCACACACACTTTACATGCAGAAGTATACACAGGCAGTCAGGTTGTTTTACTTCCTTTTGTAATATAGTACTCTAAATGTATATGGACTTCCCAGGCAAAATTACACGATAACGTTACAATGTTGGTCAAGAAAGAAAATAGAATTTTTGTTCCTGTAATTTAACTTACTGATGGTGATAATAAATGTAATGATGATGGGAGTTAGATGGTTAGCAGATGGAGTTTTAACAGAGCTTAGAATATTTTCTTCACTTTCATTCTGCCGGACATCAATTTAACAAATGCTCAAATCAACTTCAACATAAAACGGCAAGGATCGACAGAAGATACAGCTATGAGAGCAGAATTCAGGAATGATATAAATGTGGAGGCTTACATTTAGTATTTAAAATAAACAGGTTGATCTTGATTACCATATAATAAGAATTGGCATTGGATAGATTAGAAAACATACTTGGAAACATGGAAACACGGTCAATTTGGTCAGATTCTTTTTCAGAATAGCTTAAATAGTTGGTTAGCGGTTACAAGGGAAACCCTGTTCTTCTCCTCTCTGAAATTATATTCTGTTTTAGGCACATTAATGTGTGCGTGTAGTGTTTCTTTTCATGGAACATCTCTTTCTCTGCGTTTCTTTGCCAATTGCTAAAATCATGTTTCTAAATAGATCTGACTGACTGCATTTTTAGATGCTAAAAGCCAAGAAACATCAAAATATGTTTAAGCTCGGTTGCAAATTATAAGGTATTATAATTATATAAATTATTCAAATTAAATTACAACTTTACTCATCTCAGAGGGGGATGCTCTGTGCGGTGTGAAATAGAAAGTGGTACAACCAGTCTGATTAGTGAGACCACATTAAAGCCAATCTCTGACTGGCCGACCTCTCTCACAAGCCAAACAGCCAGTCGACTACAACCTTTGTGATCATAATAAATTATCCTTTAACGTCTTCGGTTTCGATTTCTCTCACGTGCTGACATAAAGCATGTTTATTTGAATGTATTCAGAGTTATGTGAAGTATAAACTTTTGACACAAAATGTTTATGCTCTATCAGAAAGGATGGTTTAAAGAGAAATTAACTGTATGCAAAACCTTTACAAAACTACATTTGAAAAATGTCACTCTTTCAGAGAGTCTCTCTCAGTGAGGGTTTGTTCCATCAAAGAGTCTATATTAGGCCTCAACGACATATACCCCTGTGTTTATGTGGCCTTCAAGCACATGGAAAATTATATGTCAGTAAAATGTCTAACAGGCTGCATGCTATAGAAAGGAAGCTATGAGAGCACTTTGAAGTCCAATCGTTGTGCATGGCAGTGTATATGTAGGACAGACAGACAGATGGAAAGGGAGAGTACTTTGCTGTACGTGTGTGTGGGCTTCAGAGAGGAGATGTACCTGAATGTATGTGAAGTGTGTTTATGGGGTCTATTTTGATTTTGCAAGCACAACAACCAACGGTTACTCTTAGTGCAAAGACTGTGTTGCCTTCTCAAAGCACTCCTTCTATTTTGGTTCATGTATGTGCAGCGGTGGAGGGCTGTGTGATGGCGAATGATCACAGGGTCTGTCATATCCCAGGTATCATCGCTCCAACAGCTGAACCTATAACAGTGTGTTTGGTTATTTTGTAGAGGCCTGGTGTCATTTGAATGTAATTTAATCAAGGTAAACACAGTGCACTGCACTCTGTGTGTAATGGCACTCTGCTCTGGCACAGCACTTCTCAATTTGGACTTATTAGTCCTAATGCCTTCAGATAAATGCAGGAATTGTATTAAGTTTAGAAGCTTTTTCATACAGTTTAGATTAATGGGAGGGGGGGGATTTACTGGCGTTCTATCTTTTACCCACGCAAAACCTTATTTTTGACTGCAGATTGTAGTCTTTTTTCTGTGCATTTGCACTTAGATTTTGTTTGCTGTTGAAAAAATCTGGCAGCTGAGTGATGTTATATGTGATAAATGTTCCAACAATGTCCCAAGAATTTCTTAGGACCTTGCACTAGGCCAGGGGTCGGCAACGCAGCCCCGCTCTCTTTAACTCCAGTCGACTTTCTGCTGCTTTCCTCCGTGGTGAAACGATCAGGGGTGTAGTGCTGCCGGAGCGCGCCCGTACTTCACAAATTGCAGTAGGCTACCCATAAGGAGCTGTACAAATGCCGCAGTTTTTGCGTGGCTGTGTCTTTAGTTGAAAGCCCAGTGGCGATCTGCTCATCTCTCATCGAAAATAATATGCTAGACAGGGGCGGACTGGCCATCTGTGTGTTCTGGAGAATCACAGAACGGACCGTCGTCATTATTATAATGCCGTTTAAACCAATTATTGAAATTTGTTTAAACCGCATCATGTAAGTTGCGCTGACAGGTGAAAGAGATCAACACACTGCTTCCCCGCAGCGAGGCTCTCCCCCCCCCCGTTGACAGCTCACTATCGTCGGCACACTGATCCAATTTTTTATTTTTAAATGGCATTTCATATCAAAAAGGTTGCCGACCCCTGCACTAAGCCTTAAAATACCACACAGAAGGACATAGCCAATTTTAAGTTGAAGAAAATATGAGAGAGAGAGTAAACCTGGCTTTTTAAAACCAGAACCGCATCTTAAAGTATGAATCTGAGACACATTTTATTAAACACAGCCATGCAAAATACCCATGCTAGTACCTGCATATACACACATATAGCTAAATGGTTGGATCAGTGAAACATTTGTATAACTCTGCCTAAGATTTCTGGAACCAAGATGAACCTGAATTCTGGCCCAACAACTGAAAGTGTTGATTGAATCCAGACGACAAGGGGTGTGAAGCCTTTTAAAAGTATCTTCAAAGGAGCCAACGTAGTTTAAATGACATCATCTACAGAAAACCCAATTGAAGAGGTTTGAAGGTAACAGGGAGTTCTTCAAAAATACTCCACTGTATGTATGATTAACTGAACAGCTAAACCAGCAGACTGTCGTTCCACATTTCATCTTGATCAGCTTGATTAGAGACTACACCCCAGACTGAGGCATGGAGAAACCGTTCTCACATCTCGTAAGGGTGGGGACACCACTGGCGCAGCTGGATAGTGACTGAATCCGTGCATCACCAAAGCCGTAAAATTGAAAATGAAGGGAAAAGACCACAGCACCTCAGTGAGTAAATGAAAAGATTGCTTGAAGCTAGCAAGATTATGTCTGTGGCTAACGTTACCAAATGCCAACGTAAACATCCATGGCTTATAGTATTACATTTTCTGTGTGAAAGTATGTGTGTGTGTGAGTGGTGTTTGGGCAGCTGTTAGCCCTGGCACAGGACTTGTTTAATCACAGCTGGAGATACTGCAATCAACACGTTTGCAGCTTCAAGAGGTAACATACAGACTCAGACAGACGAGCAAACACTCATGCCCATGCATTATCTTATCAGTCAGGGCAGACGGGTGCGGCGTCTAAGATAAGCAAAATACTGGAAAAGTCTCCCTGTCTTCTCTGGAATACCATGACGCGTGATAAACACATTCAAACATTCAAATTGCATACTCAAAACAACTAGATTAAATGTGGACTTCTCTAGATTTCCAGTCTCAGTTATGTGGAAGCCTTTTTTCTGATCAGGAGCAGTTCTCTTGCTTACCTTGACCCATAAAGGCTCCATTCAGGGCATCCTTGGCAGTACCAAAGCCGAGTTCCCTGCATACCACACTGGCTGCAGGTCTGTCCCACATGTGGTCCACGATGGTCCCCCATTTTCCGTCTCTTAGTACCTCCACACGACCCTCACCCAGTCTGGGGCCAGCCTTCAGACGCACCGGCTGTACAGGGCAGAAAACCGAAGAGTTGTAACTCAGCTTAGTGCAGTTCATTAAAACACTGTGTATTCATCCCTGTATCAATCTTACCACAACTGGATAGGGGGCCTGGGGTCTTCCAGAGGAAATGCGAGCAAACTGAGGTCCTGCCACACACTTGACAACTGCATGTCTCCCGTTCTTACAAGGAGTGGGACTCCGGGGGATTGACAGCTGAGCGAGGCACTCTGACAGGGAGTTCTCAAACCCCTGACAGTGAACTTTCTCTATCCAGAATCCCTTCTTCTTTGACATGATGCTCAATCTAGAAAGAAGAAAACAGTTCTTGTAATATATTCTTAAAGCCACTGATAACGTGGTATACATCTTTAGTATTTCTCAAATACATTAAGTATGCATGACTAAAATAGCAATGATGAAAGTGACAGATACAAAATATTCTTAAATATTGTTTATGAAGGGTTTGACAATTAAAATATACTGAAAACTAATTTGGTTATTAGGACTGTGTGGTTTTGTTTATCAGATTTGATTAAAACTCTTAAATAGGTTTTCAAGCCTTTAAAGAAGTTCAACTTCTGACGTCTGTGAGTATATTTCAATGAGTGAGATCAATCATGACGAATTGTTGTATTTGTATTACCTTGTAGAAGGATCTGAAACCTTGGTATCCCATATTTTCCTGTAAAACATACAAAGAACAATGTTAGTTTTATCAGGTCTGTATATTCCCTGAGGTTAGCAACATACACACACAGACACACCACCCTGTGAGGTGACCTGGGTCACCAATTTCTCATGTGGCGGGGTAGTGACTGAACAATATACTGTAGCATCTGTTGTTTGTTTTATATGCAACCTGGCCACACAGGAGGGATTTCTGCCACAGTTAGTAGCGGCACAAACACTTACCGATTTACTTATTACTAGAAAAGTATTCTTACTGAGGTACATGGTTTAGTTACAGCTCAGACTTGATCAAAAGATGAATCAAACCGGAATGAGCTCTGCTTGCGGCTTTGTGGTGATTGTAAAGTTATAAATACATTAATGCAGATTACTGATATAGTTTAAGGAAGAAATGCAATGTTCTTGTTCTCCTCCCTATCTGTTTTGCTTTATAGGTTTATTAGTAAGATATATTTCCATCTGGAATGTTGTTTACTGTTTTTATGTTTAGAGTTAGGCAACAGTCTTTTCTTGTCATCAACATACGGATAAGTGTTCAACAGGAATGTGTTGCTGGGCGCGTTTTATCTTAATTACCCATCTTTACGTTACATTGAATGCACTTTCCTTTTAAACCAACATAGACACTTTGAATACAAGTCTTTAGCATTCCGTGTTGCAATAAAGCAGAGATGTGTACATAACTACAGGAGTTAGGAACTATAAAAGGATTTTTTTTTTTCAAACACAAGATATTTTTAACTTAGTTGTTAAACTCCAATGCCACATGCAGTCCAAACAATCATGACATTGAACATCAGTGATGTACAACATTTCTGGGAAAACAGGGTTTGACCAAGCACGATATACAAACAAAAACTCTGGCAGTGCGCTGCATGTCAGAGAAATGCCAGAACCAAGTAGAGACTCATGAACCAAGTATGCTGGCTGACTCGGGAGAGCGGTGGAGAGGAAAGCCTTCTGTTCTGCTGGCAGACACGCAGAGCAGACATGCCACACAGACCATGCCAGGACATCCTCTAACCACTGCAAAGTGCATGCACAATATCAATTACTTTAAAACACTCATACACACGCTACAGCCTGCTGATATTAGAAAGAGCCTAGTACCGTCCATTCTGTGGTGCGATTGGCAAACAAAATAATGTTAGGTAATTATGAGACTAACATTGTTGTATACATTGTTTATTTTATAAGATAATCTGACCATCTAAAAGATTTAGGGTCGAGTGTCTCGTTATCAGTTTACAACCCACTTTGCTAAAATGTTAACACTTACAACTACAGTAGCATTAATCAGAGTGAGCTGGTGAGGCGTAGCTTCATTAAAACACCACATATTTTTTAAGTGTAATCTCTTTGGAGCTGTATATCAGTATGGCATCACAGGCGTGGGAGGCTAAATGAGTTTCTATTCTGTGGCTACTGATACAGCACTTCATTAAAAATACTCCAATGCTGGTTTTAGTGGCATTCACTTATATAGAAACAAACATGACCAAGGATATTTGTATAAACGGACAGGTAGATACATATTTGAATTTCTGACAAGAACTGCGGAGATTCCCAAATTTGTTAAGCAAAGAACCTCAAAAACAAACTGAGGATGCTCGAATAAAGAGAAGCATTGTCTTTGAAACAATGTTATGTTGAAGGTTGTGTGAAGTCATGGAATGCTGTAAGTAGTCAATGGGGCAGAAGAGACCAAACATTTTAGCATTCTAAAAATATGCAAACTTCAATTTTAGCAATCATTTATCAAAAAGAGGTGTTTTGCAAATTACAGATGCCATTTTAAAACAACACTCATTAAATGGTCGTTTCTCAGGCCCATTTAAAGCACAGAGTGCAGCTCTGAGGTAAGCTTACATTATGAACATATGTAAATGAAATCTCAACTGCTTGAAAAGCATTGCTACCTTTCCAATATCTAAGAAACATTTGACTTGATGAGGCAGAAACTCCACTATTTGTAAAACACATTCAGTGCTCTGAATAAAGCCGCTTGTGCGTACAGGAGACCTGCTCTGATTGGCGACTGACACATTGAATAGAATTGAACACTTATTCTTTACAGTCTCTTGAATTACACTTGTAAAATATCTTAAATGTGTCTACCATGTAGCTCTGCAGTAACATCGGGTATAGAGAGTTAGGACCATGAACACACACAGACATACGCACACACATTTTCCCTTGAGGCAACATGTCTGTGACATGTTTGTGACCTCACCACAGACCAATCAGCTAACCACTTTCCCTCTTAAGAAACCAACAGACTACTACACAGGATTTAAACGATACCTTCAGGTCTTTCATTTCACTGAATTAAGAACTGTTTGTAAATGCTGAATTTCATCCAATAAAATAAGTATGTTTAAAATTGTGTAATAATAGTTAGCATGAGCAGTATGACAGCATTTCTCTACATGCTGTGTGCTGATGAAATGAACAGGTGGACTCAGTTTTAAGGTTTTTTCTACCTACATATCATTCATCACCTTAAAGCCACTAAGCAGTGTGAGGGTGTTAAAAACACCATTTTAATAATTTAGGGGAACTGTTGAGCTGTTCTTTATGCTGCATAAATAGTATCTTCATGCAGCATAAAAACTAGAAAAACTTTTAGGTGGTCCGGACATTTTTATCAGAGTAAAATCCTTAATTAATGTATAATCCTTTGGTTTAATATTTTCTTTATATCTTACTATTTATTGAAGTTAAATTTGAGGCGTTGACCATTTGATTCCCTATACTTTAAGTACTAAAATATATTACCATTAAACCTTGGGTTCAAAATGCATATTCATATATCTGACAGTGGACCTAACAATCACCAAGATCTAAATTAAAAGAAGGCCAAGATCAAACATATTTTATATTGTTCAGATATCACAGTTGTTCAAATCAAATATTAGATTTTATTATGAAATTAAGTTTGAAAAGGTTCTTGCATTTCAAATCGTAATTCCATATTTACATGCAGCCAGAAGCAGCTGTGAAAAATCACAATCCTTCAACTCAGTTTTGAAAGCCAGCTTCCAGTCTGTTCACGAGATAACAACTGGCATGCATGCATGCAGAAATTAAAAGATGGTTGAATAAATGAGAGAGAAGGTCACTGACATGACACAGACATCAGACAGGAAAGCCAGACTCGGTCCCTCAAAATGTCACACAAAAGCCTGAAAATGATACCCTCATCAAGAACATTTCAGCTGAAACATAATTAAAAATAAAATGCAGGTTTAGTCCCCAAATCACTATGGTGACAGAGGAAGACAGACAGTTGCTGACACAGCGGGCCGTGCTGCAAACTGCAGCTGTAATTGAACATATTTCACACGAGCAAGCGGAAATCTGGCTCGTCTGACTGCTGCTCCTGTGCTTTTTCCTCAATCTCCTCTTTCTCTTGTTACTCTCTTCCTCCTCAATCGCCAACTATGTCTTACTCTCTCTCACACACAGCTATAATTGGGGATTTTTTTTTTTTTCACCCTCAGCAGAAACCCCGGAGAGCCTTGGTCCTGACCAACCTGTAATTACAGCATCTTCAGAATCTCATCCAAGAGACACAGCGAGCCGAGAGACATGGCATGGCCCGGGTTTCTAAGAATGGCCTGAGAGACTTGGAGCAAGGTGGAGAAACTTGGGGGGGTGCGTCACTGGCTACATTTGGTCAAACCATGCAACACAATCCTAAACTTTCCTGCTGCTATTTAAGTCGAAGATGTTACATGAAAACTGAACATGAAATTGTCTAACACCCAATTGTTTCCCCATGACTCCTCTTACATTTTGTACAGTAATTATGGTTACAGTGGCAATTTAGTCAGAGGGCAATCCTTACAATTACCCAAAAGTAAATGCTGAGACGGCATTACCTGTATATCAACAATTGTGTTCTTGTTATAACTGTTTCTTGTATGTAAACATCCAAATACAATAACAACGATAAGGTTTCACCCTGAAAACCAAATATTGCAAACGTGTTAAACTGTAGCTAGCTAAGCTAAGACATTGAGGCATATGCACACCTTGTGGTCAAAAACACATTTTGGGAGAGAACAAACAAAGTACAGGTACAGATTTAGAAACAAACACATCACTGAGGCTACAGAAAAACACCAGGTCATACCCAGGACAGGTCGACCAACCTGTATCAAGTCCGGACCGCTTTCATGCCAGAGTCTTAGAATTTACACGCACAATAAAAAAAATCAACATAATGGCATCCACCCAAACCTTACACTGTGCATTTAGAAGCAGATATGTTGGATAAGCAGTATAATCCACTTTGTTGTGGCTTAGGTCAGAGCCTTAAATAGCTGGAGTGCTATTGTTTAAGTTTCTTTCTCTTGACCTCAGAGGGAGACTTAAAAACAACACCCTGGAACCGCCACTGAGCAGATTCCCTGCAGGCTTCAGTCCAAGACCTTCAAGCTACAGCAGCTTCGTCCTCCTCTGTCATATCTCTTTTCTTGGTGAGCAGCCAAATCTCTTATGTGGCAGCGATACAAATATACCCATCTAATTCCTCACTCAACTCCTACTTGTTCTTCTCATCTCCCATGCTTTGCATTAAGTGGCAAATCTTTACTGCGATGGGAAATCGAACTGAGGCATAAAAAGCATCACACCTGCAATGCAGGGAAGCTCTAATAAATGATCATGTACAGAGACACGGCCAGGCTGTTTGACGACAGCTCATTCTGAGGACCTTTTATTACTGGAGATATGACGCCTGATGGTGCCTTTTTCCAACAATAGAATCCAGTTAAAGCATCACTGTGTTCCCAATAACAGAGTTAGGAGGACATAGCTTAATTCAAGGGCAATGCAGAACAACTTTCAGTGAGTGTGTGTGCTCCAATAGGTATGTTGGGAAAGTCAACAAACGTTAAAATAGTCTATATAACACATGAGTTACCCCATCAACAGTGACAGCTTTAGCAGAAAGAGGAATTTTGCACATACAGTAAAGAGCAGATGTTGTGGTCTGTCCAATGTTGAGTCAGAATAGGCTTGGCCAAGAGAGGAAAGGAATAGCTAAACTATGAATCACCTAGCCGGTAGCTCTCCAGGAACTATATCCATCCAGCCTGGCTCCATCCAAAGGTTTAAAAAAGATTGGACAAAACCACCTGTAAATGTTGTGCTTTTTTAAAAGTTTAAAACCCCTGCCCTAGCACACATAGATGCACACACACACACTGGCATCCTGTCACACTTGCTGTTAAAGTGGGATGTAAAAGTGAAGAGATGCAAGGCTGACTCAAGCCTGCAGAGGCTGCCCTGTCAATAAGACAAGTCGCCTCACAAAGACCCTCATCCTGCTCTCCAATAGCCACCTCTGTCCCACACATGGTATTGATGGGACAGTTAAAGCACAATCAGCAGTGATATTACACCTCAGCATGGGAATCTAAAAGTTAGAGTGGGGCTGTTTGTCTGAGAGCTGCAAGCTGAAGATAGCATCAGAGAGAGAGTGAGAGAGGTGAGCATAGGTGCTTTGCCTAGAGAGAGGTGCAGAGAAAGGGCAGAAGAGAGGGGACACGGATTCCTTTATCATCATCTAGGCTGAGGAAGGGAGGGGGGAGTAAAGGGTGGAAACACGGCAGAAGTGGCTGGGGGAGTAAGATAAGCCCAACAAAAGGCCTTTACTCAAAGTGGCTTTAAACAGGATGTCAGTGTTGCTTTTTTATTCTTCAGTATGAGTTTTTATTCACTTAACAATGAGAGGAATGACAAACCATGTTGCCCTTCTGAACTACAGTCAACAGCCCACTGTAATGTAATCTAATAACTTGAGTTCATAAATGTGAAATGTGTTGCTCTCGGTGCCGCTAGCAGGAAAGATTAACACTCACTTGTATGTTTTGACATTGTGCTGAGTAGCCTCTGGAAAGCCAAGCATCCCACACACAACTCGGCTGCTGTTGAGAGTCCAACCCAGGTCGCAAACCTGCCTCCATCTCCCAGCATGCTTCACTTCCACCGCACCTTCTGTGATCAGGCTCTTTCTCTTTGTAGCCATGAGAATGGGACGAAGACGGACCTCCTCGATTCGCACCTTACTAGGAACCTTGGGGAAGATGAAAATGTAATGTTACATACCTTTCTAAGATTAGCATAGAACGTTTCAGAAGTAAACTGCTTTACCGGGGGGTGTCTTTGGAACCGGGGAATCTCTTGTTGTTGATGTCCGTTTCCATAATAGCCATATCCTGGATGCCTGCGGGTGACCACATTTCCCTGCCACTGAGCTGCATGGCTGCTGTTGGGCCTGCTGAAGGTGGTGTGGCCTCTACTGGCTGTCTGATTCGGCCTGCGCTCAGTGTTGCACACCACCCCCAAGTCTTCCGTGTGTTTACAGTCATTCACGCCCCAGCCGTTGTGTTTGCAGTCCTTTATGGACTTCTCTGAGCCGTCACAGCGTACATTATCCATCCATATTGGGCCTTGTGAAAAGAAAAACACTTCATTACGTCATTCATAGTGACTTTCATTGATTGTTCAATAGACAAACTGCGCATTGCATCTAAGGGACCAGAATCAGTTCCTAAACACCTAACACTTGACTTTTACTGGCGCTCTGATTTAGGGTTGCACCTTAGCGGCGTGTTTAGCGGTGGATACACAGTATTTTACAAGGCAGGTAGCTGTAGATCCTGCCCCTTGAATCTACCCAACCTTCTCTTTAATTTGGATTTAAAAGCAGCAGTAAAGAATGTCCATAAACCACAGCAAGTGTTGCACAACTCTGGCAAGTGAATGCTATTATTATTCTAAAACAAATGCCCTATCTCTTGGCCCATATATTGCTCTGCCAGCCTGCTAGGTGACCTAATGAGATGTAGGACTCCAATCCCACAAGTTATCTTGGTCACTTTATGATGTTAGTTATTTTGGGATGCCTTAATTGGTGGTCCTTTCATGTAGCCATGCATTTAGAGTTTTGTGGAGGAAGCACACAAGAGACAGGTTTTCAATGAACTGTTCCAATATGGCCGCCTGCTGAGTCTCAATCTATGGTCTCAATCTAATAAATGACAATGACTATCTAATGAGCCTTTTTAAGAGTAGACTTTGACTCATTATTGCGTGAATAGCACAGGTGTAAATAATACAACTAAGTTTAGCTTTTTTCGATTCAGTGATTCAGTGCAGTCCTTTTAATATAATTATTACTCCTGTGTTTTCATTGCTATCATGTCAAAGACGGCCTATCATAGTTTGTCACTCACATGTCAAGTCTGGCCAATGACACAAAACTGACAATTTACCTTTTTTCAGGAAAATGTCTCACTTCCAAAATTGCTAAATGGTTGTAATTTGCTACAGGAAGTGCTCTCACCCGCTCCTTCTCCATACTGTGCGCTGTGTGCCCACGTCACACCGCTCTGGAAACCCAGCTCTTTGCACACCACGTTGGCCAACTTGATGTCCACTTCATCATCGCAGACAGTCCCCCAGGTGTTGTTGTGCAGCACCTCCACGCGCCCTTCGTTGGGTTCTCGCGCAAAGTTGCCTGCCAAACGCACCTTGGCGGCGGATGCGCGAGGAGCCCTGCGCTGATTGGACGAGCTCCGCCGAGGTTCAGCGCGAGCGGGAGAAGAGAGGGACAGCAGCAGGAGGACGAAGCTCAAGCAGAGGGTGCGGGTCATCGTGGCGGAGAGGAGGGGGTCTGCAGGTCCAAAACGTTACACATGATTCAATGTGCTCTTCTTTTTACGCTTAATCAGACGATGTTTCAGGTTATGTTATTCATTTGGCTTCTGTAAAATTTACCAGTGGAGTAATATACCTGGCTAGTCAATTAGGCATGTCAATTTAAAGCTACAGGCTAATTTCCCCGTAATGAGAAACATCTGTCATCACTTTTAGATGACATACTACATCTTGAAACTCAAACCACAGTGTATAAAGAGACCATGATAAAGACTGAGTAATTCCCTAACACAAGTCAAACAGTCAGCCTGTAGAAACCCCTCAGAGGCCTGGTTATTAAATGGACCAACGGTGACATCCTCTGGACAAAATAATTCAGGTAAACTAGGCCGACTATAAAGTATTCTGACTCTACTCAATGGCAGAATACAGCCAATAAATAAAACAGGATCTCAGTCAAAGAGATAAAGCCAGACTTGTTGTAGTTTGTAGTAATCATCAATTTTGCCAAAACACATAAAATGACTAGGCCTACTTTTCACTCATGTCAAACATTGGCATATAATTAAAGACCAACTAACGCATTTTTGTATTTACGTGAATAAACATCCCTGAAGGCGTACAAAGCAGACTGAAAGAAACATTAGACAGGTTTTAACTGGAGGTTAACAAGTGTCACAGCCAAACAAGAACGCAGCGGTGGAGACAGACACACTGAAACATTAAATCACTGCATGCCACAGAACAACACTGAGCACGAAATACACCAAATCTACTTGTCTACTGTGACGGTAAAATGATAAAGGAACAAACCATCAGAACAGACTTTGCAGGCATGGAAACAGTAAATCATAGGGAAAACAGCAGCTTAATCCTAACACTGCACTGTTTGTCTCTGTGTATGCTTATTTCATAGGAACCACCTAAAAACAACAAATATTTCTTCTTAATGTTTGAACATTGGCAGTTATATTTTTTATCTAACTTATTTTTTAAATAAATTAGAAAAGCTCACATTTAAGAACAGAAAAATCATCTCTACACCGCTACACCTGTTACACTTGCACACAGATGGCTATGATGAATACAAAAAACAATAAACTGATAAATCAAAGTAAAGTAAATACTATTCCATACCAAGATAACATGTAAAAAGAGAAGGTAAGGTGAAAGTTCACTCACCTGGCAGGCAGCAAATGTTTGCAGTGGTGGACGTCACTGGCTAGGGGAGAGTGACTGAGTGAAGGAGTGAGTCTGCTCTCCTTAGTCAATCCTCCCTTCTGCCCTCCTCTCTATATCCCTCCCTGCCTCCCTCCCTCCCTTCTCTTGCTCTTTTTTCCTTCTGGGATCTCATATAGAAGTGTTAATGTAAAGGCTAAAATGTAAAGCTGGTAATTACATTGCAACCTTGACTGCATAATGCTCCAACACTTTCTAGGAAATGTAAAAATATCTGAGTAGTGAATTCCCTACACCAACATTTTTACTTATTCTGTAATTGTTTTGTATTTGTGTTGTAGGTGGAAACTTTTAAGTCTTTTGTCACATTTTAATGAATCTGGCAGGGAGTGTCTCGAAAGTCATCCATTTCTGGATAGATGTATACATTATGAAACTTATTTTCATAATCAAATCAAATGTTTTGTCTCTGATTGGTTCTCTTTACATCTCTCTTCTATGATAGGTTCAAGGTGCTTTACACAACTGCACACGCACAGTGTTATAAAACCTTAGGGTGAACGTGTGTATATGTAACCAACAGGAAGGACTCTGGTTCAAGAATAGTTTCAAACAAGAAGCTCCCTATACCGCAGGGTAGATATTTCCTTGTTGAGAATGCCGCAAACCACCAACTCTAAAAAAGGCTCAGCCTCATCGTAGCCATGGCGCTTGTGACTGATGAGAATACGCCATTCCACCCCTACCCAGGAGTGTGTTACTATAGTCTAACATATCATCATGGCATATAAAAGCATAAAGGTTTGAGCCATCAGGTCCGGGTAAAAAATGAGCGAAAAGTCCTTTTTATAGCTTTCTAGCCGGGTTCACTTCAGTGCTCCGTACTGATCCGATTTAGATTTCCTGCATTTGTCTACTGAGGCCTTTCTACATGTTTGAAACTTGTTTATTTGTTTTTTGATTCATTTTGGATGATGTTGGACACATTTAGCTCCCTGGAAATGTTTAGCTTCAGGGTGTTGTGTTGATAAACTGTTTTCCTGTTTTCAAGTAAACACAGTGGGCACCTTTTTAGGCAGCATGGTTTATTCTTAGGCATCAAGAATTACAATCATGACAGGGGAGGTAGGAAACGAAACATCAACCCAACCGTACAAAAAATGGTATGCAGAGCCCCAATGAGGTGAAAAGAAAAAAAATAATATGTTACATATATGTGTATTTGTGTGGACACGTGTAAACTCTGAAGCTGTAATTGAGATGTTTGTGTGCAGAGTGATGGTGCGACTGGGTGGCAGGATGGTGGTCCCTCCCTGACTGGTAAACCCGAAACAGGAAGAGCAGACCCCCTATTAGCGGGGCCAAATCAGAGGGACCTGCAAGGCCGACAGGGAAGTAAAGAGAGAGAAAAAAGGAAAGGAGGGTGCTAAGGTTAAAAATATAATTATCATTGATGTGTGTGACATTTTTCAATTATAACTTGTGAAGCACTGTTGTATATCAGACTAATTAAACTAGACTAGACAGGTGTCCCTACGTGTGTGCCAATACTTAACAGCTCTGTGTGTGTGTGTACGTGTGTGTGTGTACGTGTGTGTGTGTGTGTGTGTGTGTGTGTGTGTGTGTGTGTGTGTGTGTGTGTTAGTGAGAGTGCATTACAGGGCTCTAGGAGGGCTCACAGGGCTGAGAGCTTTCTCTTTCTTTCTCACTGCCTCTCTCTCTCGCTCTCCACCTCTCTAATTACGCCGACCAAGCAGGCTCTGCCCTTACCCACAATCTGTGGAGGCATGAAATAAATACATGCTCTCCAACAATAAACAAGTGCCTTTTCAAAGGACAGCACCTCCTCATGCTCACCCCCACCGCCGTCTCTCTGGGCTTTTATAATGCTTTTACTTAGCATGTAGGCACATAAAGTAGAGAATACGCCACTCAGGTTTAAGGGCTGAGAATGCAGCGAGCAGTACGTAAAGGGTTGATCTAATTAGCTTTAGCATCAAAGGGCATTTTGGTCTTAACCCCAAGGTGCACTTAAATGTGACTATGAGGTGAAAATGTTATTGATTGGGTTAAATTATAACACATGTTTAATTATACACACACACTTTAAACCCATATTTATTGGTTGAAAATCTTTAGCAGATAACAATTATTTCCCTTTTTTAATGCATGCAATTTGACATACTTTTCCCTAGTCAGGGGAATTCAATAAAAAGGACAACATTATAGCAGTAGAGGCCAAGATATCCTGATTTGAGTCCCTAGTATCAACTCATCAACTTAATTGCAATCACTCATTACACCAGCCCAGCGTCTTTTGTAACACATTCCTTTTCTTATTGGGTTATTTTAAACTTTGGAAAGCTGTATATTACAGTTTTTGAGTAAACTTGCTATAAAGAGTTTGCCCCTCTAATTTTTCAGCATGGTGGTGCTCTCACACTTGCAGGTGGCATAAGGCTTTATTTACTCTCTATTCAAAATATAATTTGTGGGATAATGGTTGCTTTTCCCACACATTATCAGTCAAGTCTCCATTTCTCACTGGTTTTAGTGGTTACAGATTCTCTAATGCTACTTTCATGCTGGCCGGGTGATGACAGGGTTACCATATTCCCCCCCACACCAGCCTGGACTGCTTTGATTTACTACTGCAGGGTTTTCTGCATCAGGAATGAGTTAGAGCCACAATTTGATTCCTAGAGATCAAAAAAGAAGAATGTGTATGCATCGTATAGGCTTGTTAAGTCAGTGACATATTTCAGTGTAAACCTTTCATGTACAACACTGCCGCCTTGTGGAATGCAGGAAAACCACACACCACTGGCAGAGAGTTGTTCATGTTCCTGACATATTAGATAAACCATCTTATACCAAAGACCTTTCTCTCCCAGTTTGTGCAATAAATTAAGAGATTCAGAAAAAGGTGGTTCAAATACATTTATTAAATATAAAAGACTCTTTTTTTGCAGTGCAGTAATGATAATACAAAATATTTGGAAGATTAACAAGATTGCAGTGCTCTGGTTATTAATGTTTACATCAAAATTAAAATTGCATTTTTCCTGAAATAGTTTGAAATTTTTTTTAAAAGCCTAAAAAAAACATACCAAATAGCTAAAATAAACCCAAGGAAATCTTATCCCCAAGGTTGAAATGTCCACAAGATTAAATCAAATTATGCTATGGTAACATTGAATGCATTGTGTTAGTCTGCAAAATGAAATGCAATGCACAACCAGAGTTAACAGCACCAGTCACACAAAACATTAGTATGTTTGTTAAATCAACAAGTGCAGACTTAAGGTTTGGTGTCCAATTCCTTTTTCACAAGTTTTAGCAACAAGAAAAGCAGAAGTGCAGCATGTGATTGTGTGACACCAAGTGTTCCTTAACAATGCTTGCCTCTTAAAGCCATAAGGAACATGACCATTCAAAGTACTAAAAGGCCAGTAAATGAACGGGTGTATCCAACTACCAAGTTATGTTGTAAAAAAGAAAAAAAACGTCTGTATAAATAGGGAAATAAATACTCTCACTATGCTGTGCATAATTTACTCGTGAACTTAGTGTTGACTTAAACCAGGTGCTGTAGCTGTTGTTATCTAGTGGATGATACAGACACATGCCAATGGTTTTAATGCACTGCCTAGTGTTGAAACCAAACAGACTGTTTTCAGTGCGTAGCCATCAGAAGAAGCATTCTTTGGTTCACTGAAATACTGAAATGGAGTCCCTAAGGTAAAAAAAACACTGCTTCTCAGGATTCAGAAGTTCTGTGAGTGGATCATGTTACACATGTCCAGACATTTCTTTTATAAGGCACTGTTTTGTTAAGTTGTTTATCAATGGCATTGCCATGGTATAGACATTTAGTAAGTGTTCGTATGTCTATGACCCATAATTGACACTCAAGTTGGCACTTTCTTTTGCATAGACATTAAGTGGTCATGTGTTCTATACTGCTTCCACGCCATACAAGTAGGTTTATGAATGACAATCAGTGCTCCATCCATGCAAAGACATCTGAACAGTGTGTGTAATCAATCTTTCAACAAAAGAGAGACAAATAGATAGCAAAAGTGAAATATACACCTTATGTTTGCATTAAAATACATTTTGGTTATTGTATGTCTTTTCACCCATGTATGATCCTCTTAACTAATAAGGCTACATAGCACATTATAAACTGTCTCTCTCTGGATTTCTGTAATTGTTTTGCTTAAACAACCGCATGTACATAGAGGAGGTACTCATATGTCTAGCACATATGTTGGTAATTCTTTGGTCTGACCGACAATGTGCTGAAATTGATAGAGGAACATCAAGTGGGAAACGAAGCCCGAGACTGAACCACAGACTGATGTAAGCCGCTGTTGGCTATTGATAAACCTAAACTGATTAAACGAACTGCAAGTTAAAGTATTGTTTGAGTTACTGTACTTAAAAGGGCTGATAGGGAGGTGTGATTACAAAGAAGGAAGGATCCCAGAATCATCACTGAGGAACAAAGGCCCTTAAAATCCAAACTGAGTCCTTTCCTATCTGCTGTACATGACAGAGCCATTACTTGTTTTCCCATAGTCGACCAAGGCAGTTTCACTTCCTCCTTATGTTGTATGCCTGTAAGGTTCGGTCGTATCCCTTGAAGCTGGAATATGTTAACATGTGCTGTGAAAGGCTGCTAATACGAAGGTTTTTATTCCAAACAAAGACTACACCAGGTCAATTTGTTGCTCCCTTCTAATTTACTTTGTACTGTCGAGAAATATTGTTGAGTAAAGTCTTTCGATGAGATAAAAACCGTAATACTTGCAGTCATTTGGCACATGTGTGACTATCTCTGCCTTTGAGCCTGGGTGCTGGCTCTGATCATTTCACTATTCTGGTCCGTTCTGCTACAGTAAATATTAGAGCCCATAGAACCTGGTCCAGTCAGTACCGGCTCCTTCGGCTCAGTCTGTGCATCCTAGTTTCCTGCACATTACTGAGGCAGAGAGTAAACTGAGTTCAAGGCTGCCAGGGCTTCCTGTCCTTGCCTTTCTGATCAGGAATGTGTTTGTAGCGACATTTGTCCC